TTGACAAGAGCACAGCAGGAAAGTTTGACTTTGAACTTTGACTTTCATCCAGAGGAACTTTGAACTTTGAACTTTGACAAGAGCACAGCAGGAAAAGATCACACAACTCCAACCCCCACAGCTCCATCTAGAATAGGAGTACGTGCTCCGTTGAACGCTGGCAGAAAAAGTCATGGGGCATCACAACATGGCGGCCAACATGGCGGCCAACATGGCGGCCGATGCCTGGCAACAAAACAGTGTCCAGATTTTGATCATCAAACCTAATCCAAACATACTCCAAATCTAATCAAACCCCCCAATCCATACATACCCCACATCAAGCTGAACCGGGTGCACTCACCTGGCGCATGCCGAAGAAGAGCATCTGACTTTAACATCCCATCAGAAACAGAAACCTCTCTGGACCGCCTTCCTAATCTCCAATTGACCGACAGTCCGCTCATGCTCGGCCCACTTGCCGCCGGATCTCTTCTTGTGTCTGCCTCCAACGGTCTCCGCTCATCATCAGAGCCACCACCAGAATGTGCGGCTGTGGCTGTTGTCGTCGTCATCGTCGCAGTCCCTGAACTCCCTAATGACCCTCTCCCAGGCCCAGATGCATATCCCGAACCATCTGTTTCGGGTCCAAACCCATTTGCGCTAGGATGGGGCTCTCCCGTTAACGTCATTCCGGATGCGCTTCGCGAATGGAATTCCGCCTCTCCAGCAGGAGCAACCGTCCTCCCTCGGTCCATACTTACGCAAACTCCACTCGCCGCCGAGCTTGGCATTCCCAAAGACTCACCCCGCCCTTCCCACGATTCATCATCCACCCTCCCAGACTGCTTCGGCGCCGCATTTCGAGAGTGCCGTTCCGCATCTTCGGGTGGTGGCACAGCTACATGTAACCTGTCTCCGTTCCTCAGACACCCTCGTGGGTTCCGCGAACCACCCGACGTGACTTCCAGGGACCCATTCACAGGAACGCCCTCCGGCAAAGACCCTACAGCCGTTCCCGGCAATGGAAGACCCGCAGCAGCTGGCTCTGACTGGGCAGAAGATGCGGTGGACGGCACTTGCACAGTATGCGGTGGTGGTCCCCGCACAGGTTTCCGTGGAGAAACTGGACCGGCGTGCTGGTTGATGGTACTTGAAGCTTCTGAAATTGCGCCACCACAAAATTTTGATAAAATCACATTTCGCAACCAAGGGAAAAAAAAAAGAAAAAAAAAAAGAAAAAGAAAAACAAGGAAAAAGCAACACCAAGAGCATGTCATTTGGTAGTCACAGAGCATGTCATTTGGTAGTCATTAAGCATATATGACAGCTGGGATGAATCCGGTCAGCATTAAGGATAAGTTACATTTGTGCTGGTTCATGGCAATATAACATCATCAGCACACAACTCGGCATTTTGGCTAAGGTCAACTGTAGTATCCATTCCATAGTTGCGGCGCACAAGTGCGCAGTGCGGGGCGGGGCGGTGCGCACTGCGCTGTGCGCTCGAATGGCAGCACGCGCACTGCGCCGTGCGCTGCACGCAGTGCGCACTGCGCTCCGCTGTGCGCGGTGCGCGCGCTGAGGGAGGTGCGTTATGTGCGCAATATTAAAAAAAGAAAAAAAAAAGAAAAAGACAGGGCCCAAGAGAGAGAGAGAGAGAGAGAGAGAGAGAGAGAGAGAGAGAGAGAGAGAGAGAGACAAAGAAGGATCTCCTTTATGTCAATTCGCGAGCCCCTGCAGGTACCACGAATGGCTCCTACAACGCATGGGGAGCTATTGAGGGCCGCTGCTTTACTGAGAAGGATGGCCTCATCATGCACGAAAGACATGGGGGCAGACGACCAATATATGCTGTGGATTCGAGTTCAGGGCTGTAGCTCGGCAGTTATGGGTCACCAGTTCAGCCACGTGATTGTCAAGGCCTCCCTCCACCACTCACCAAATGTATATAATATTAGTAGAATGAATCTTCTGCTAAAACATGGAACCATACACCGCCATATGCTATGTCTTTTGTGCATTTGGTGAGTAGTGGAGCAGGCCCCACTGGACGTATTTGTAAGAAAACAAAAACAAGAAAACGAGAGAGCCACGGGCGTCTTCATCCTAACCCATAACTGCCGACATGCAGACCTGAACGCCAATCTTCAGCATATATTGGTGGTCGGCTGGCCCTACAAAACGTAACTCGTGATCTCTGCGAAGATTCGCGGGGCAGGTCGTTACGAGGCGACTGCCCCTTTTTGCCAACTTACCCCACCACTGTGTGGGATCTGCAGAAGGGAGCGGGAATAATATCTTTCATACCCCGCCTAAAAAAAAAGATGGAATGAGCCCTATTTTTGAAGTATTTTATGCTTCGCCATCCTGAAACTTTTGGGCGAAGGGCCTGCAGAAATCGAAATTTGGCAGCCCTTACCCAAAAGAAAATTTCGAGCTCCGGGCGCGGCCGGTATCTGATCTCGCGCAGTGAGTTTAACATTTTTGCCGAGTTGGGGGCCCTAAGAAATTACAAAACACCTACTCTCTTTTTTTTTTTTTTTTTTTTTTGTGGACCTAATTTTTTCAGTGCGCTGTGCTTCGGTGCGCTGTGCGGTGCGCTGCACGCGGTGCGCAATTCGTTCGCAAATCCGCGCACCGAGGTGCGCCGCAACTATGATCCATTCTGATCAGTCTTTTTTTTTTTCCCCCAAAAAAAATTTGGACCATTTCTCGATTTATGCTTGCCATCCTTGCGCAGGGGTCATGCTAATCTTCTTTCTATGTATCGTTCCAATTTCAACGGATGTTGTCGGGAAGGACTCTGTTCTGATTGGTCTAATATCTGTTAGAAAAAAAGGACACCAAAAAAAAAAAAACATGCATAGCTTGGTCAGACCTGCAAAGCACACAACTGAACTGTTATAGCATGGCCCCTGCACAAGGATGGCAAGCCAGCCTAGGAAGTCACCGCCCAAGAGGCAAGTAGGCCGCTATATCTTCGGGAGGAGCAAGTAGCTCTTCCTCATTTGCGGTGTGCAAGGATTGGCGACATATTGCTGGAGCCGAGCGCAGGACTTGGAGCACTGCCTGGAGGAGGAGAGCAGCTGGGCGCTCAGCCTGGCTATGGCGAGCAGCCCAGCCTGAGGAGGATGAAGAAGGGGGCGCGAAGGGGGAGAGTGGCGAGGTACCTGCCTGGCTATGGTGGACACCATCTTCGTCACCTTGATAGGCGTTACATCTGGAAGGCCCCAGTTGGGGTAGTGCTGCACCAAGGAAGCTTGAGGCAGAGTCACGCGTGGCGGCCTGATGAGCAGCCATATAACTGCTTTGTGTTGTCCTTTGGACAAGAGGGCAGAGCTCCTAGTAGTCCTCCATAGCCTTGGCATGTGAGAGGAGGAAGAAGGGGGAAGTCTATGGTGGACCTGTTGTTGTGCTGACAGTAAGAGGGAACTTCGGATATTGATTCCGGTTCATCCACTCATTGTTATTATTATTATTTGGAAGAAGAATAAGATTGGTGAAGTCAAGGAGGAGGAGGAAGGTGGAGAGAGAGGGGGATCTGTCATTGGTCTTGCTGGTGTACATCTTCTTCTTCTTCTTCTTCTTCTTCTTCTTCTTCTTCTTTCTCTCTTCTTTGGCCTCTATCTCTTTGCAAGTGCTTTCATTTCTTTCACTATTGTGAATTTGCACTTTGCAAATGACCAGGATTCAATTCAGAACGTCAGAGTCTTCAGACTGGCAGCACTGTCCGTGCTCTCTCTCTCTCTCTCTCTCTCTCTCTCTCTCTCTCTCTCTCTCTCTCTCTCTCTCTCTCTCTCTCTCTCGCTCTCTCTCGTCGAACGGGCAGCAGTGGCTGGCAGCACTTCGAAATGGGCGATTCCAAATTGCTCGGGCCTGTGTGAAACCCGCCACCCC